GACTCTTCTCAGCGATTTTTGCTGGAGTTGCTTTTTTGTTAGCGAAAGCTGTTATTATTACACAAGCGCTCTACCCTCTGCCCCCCGCCTTTAACACAGAGCCTAGGAGCTCCTTGGAAGTGAATGTGATGAATACTTTTTTTAAAATTTTTACTCTTTATTTTTGTTGCAGCCAGATCTGTTCTGGTGCTTGCTCTGGCACACTGGCAGAGGCTTCTCCATGCAGCGTGTCAAACACTTGGTGCTCTTAATATGTAATATTTTCAGTGCTACCCGTTGTCAGGCTATAGTTTATTAATGAATTAATCATGCTCTTACACAACCACTGTAGCTAGGTTGCCAGAAAGCTGAGTGCCTCTCCCACCTCCAAATGCATTCAGCTAATATAAATCTCAGCTCTCAGAAATAAATCAAAATTAGAGTTTTACTCCTGAAAGTTTAAAAAAAAAAAAAAAAAATCCGTTTGTGTTTTTAATTTTTGGGATTTTTTTTCCTAAATGGTATTGATCTTGTATGTTACAATTCAATGAGTAAATGGACTCTTGTTCATCACGTGTGATCATGCCATAATATTTGAAAGCATGCCAATATATTTGAAATAACCATTCAAAAGGTTATTTAGCTGTATATGCTACAATAGTGCTCACCAACCCTAATTCCATAGGTCATGGGCCAGAGCATAGTTGCACAAGCAGCCGTACAGGAGGGAAACCTGGTTTACAGCCCAGGAAGACTTGCAATTTGAGTCTGAAATGCAAGAGAACAGCTAGAGACAGAGCACCAAGGAATAAGGAGACAAAGCTGGTTGCAGCATGAGAGGCTGCAAGCACAGCGCTCCAGAAGCCTGACTGTTGTCACCTTTTCCACAGCGATCATTGAAAAAGAGAATTATAAGGAGACGGTTAATTGAGGTTAATAAGATAAACCTCTATATTCCAATTTTGCTGTTGTTATACTTATCTAGTCTTGCCTCTTCTGTAATACAGGCAGTGAACCTCACTAAGTAATGTCTGCCTCTGGACAATAAGCCTTCTTGAACTAGAGCATCCCTGTTAGATGTTTATCTTGGTTAAAAAAGACACCAAGAAATGGTGATTCCACCGCATTTGAAAATTATGCCAGCATCTCATTGCCATCCAGGTTACCAGCCTCTGCCTTGTTTCTCATTTAGCTTTTGCGTAGATTTAGCTTTCTGTCTTTTAATGTCCTTTTCTGCAAGATTTAATCTATCAGAAGACTCTTCCCCATGTAGCAACTTGTAGGCTATGACAAAGTCGTGGAAAAACTTCCCTTGGAAAAAGTAAGTAGATGGAGTTTCATTAGTCATTCACTACAAAGGATGTTTTCCAGACCTGAAATCATTCTTGTAACTGTTTTCTGAACACTTTCCAATTTTCCAACATCCTTTCTAAAATGTAGACACAAAAACTGGAATCAATACTGTAGTAAGGAGCCTGTTAAAACTGAATACTAGGGTAATGCATCACTGTAACACATCACCTTATTCCTGCTCAAAGCTACATCTACAACTCTTATAGCCACAGCAGTGCCCATTTTTAGCACGGGTTTTGGGGTTTGGTTTTTTTTTTGGTAGTCTCATAACCTTTGGGTTGGGGGAGAGTCCTTGAATTTTAATTGTGACCCACTGTCGTCAGTTCAAGAAAAGAACTTTTGCTTTCAGGTGTATGCGATGAACCCCTTACTGTGTAAGCCATAACAATATAATTAGCAAGTTTTCACCGTTATTTTTTAATCAAGGTTTTGTGTTTTACCAGAAGTGGTAGTCTTTCCTTCTTTTCTAAAGGTATTCAGCATGGAACAGAGCTTTCAACACCTGGTTCAGAATACTTCTTTGACGTGACAATCCTCTCTTCGCAACGATACACGCTCCTTCCTAGTGTTCATGTACTTGGCTTCTAGAGAAAAAATTTGAACCCAGACTGAGGAGCAAGTTTTGTTGTAGTATGTGAGAACAGACAAAATTCTTTCAGTATTAAAAGAGGCTTTGGTGAAACCTTCATTTAAGAGCATTTGCCGTTGCCAACTCTTATGATTTTTATGTTGTTGTTATACTTTCTGGAGGAAGTTTAAAGCTCAGCTCTCAGTAGTTTGTAATCAGTTGAACATGAAAACTGTTGTTTAAAGGAAAATTCTGTCTTCCTTTGAAGACACCTTTATTGTGTGCTACAGTTAAAAAAATATCGAATAGCAAATAAAGGTAATTCACATCTGTATTACCATCATGGGACTTTTGTAACAATGTCATGATTGCATAAGAGTAAATCAAGACATTTGACTGATAATTTCAAGCGTTCCTCATTCAAACATCGGGGCCCCAGCCTGTATTTTTTGTGTACACAGGACTCCTGGTGATTTCAGCAAGAGGTGGAAGAGCTGTGGGAGTGATCACCAGGGTGCCAGATGGCCACATGTTTTACTTTTCCAGGTTAAATGTCAGCATGTAAATACAACAATTAGATTTTTCTTTCAGTGGGCTTCAAAATCAGAAGGCAGCAGACAAAAAGTTATTATTTTTTAGCTCTATAAACAGTTGTTATTGCAGCTTGAAACGTAAGGTCTATGCGGTTGACTCTTTTGACAACATGAAATTGTGAGGAGCATTTTAGTTATGATTTCTTAAATATTTTGTCCATATCTGAAAGGAAAACAAGAAAATAGGAATATGGTTTGATAGTAAAATTGCAACTGTGGTAGCAGCAGGGATAAATGCTTTTTTAA